GCGCCCTGGAATTGGGAACGGGGTAAGTCTCATTGCGCCCTCATGCACCCTGGATGACATGTCAACTTCCGGACACGATTGTCTAGCGTGTGTTTATCGGGTTGCCTAGCAACAGTCACGAGTATAAAGTGCAAAATTCGGGCTTTCAAACGATACATCATGCGAGAAAATTGATCAAAAGTTTGCGAAGATTTTCGATTTTAAAACTCTATTTTTTTACAAAAGCTGTGACAACCGCAAAGTGTCACAAGATAGGACTTTGCAGCAAGTTTTAAGGATGAAAAAAAAAGAGGTTTTTAAAGTGTTTTACATATAAAATATATTGTAAAACATAAGGGAGTGTGCATATGTTTCAAGCCAAGTTCTTGTCCAAATCAAGTCGCGCGATTTTCAGCCAGAAAAACAGCAATTTCTTTCAATCTAACAGAAAAGTGAAGTGGGAAATCGCAAGAAACATGAACACTAAATCCAAGTGAGTAGTTACAAAATGCTGTTTTCCTCTGAAATGGCTTCTTTTGCGGGAAGCCATTAAATTTATGTACTTTCCAAAATTGTAATTTAGTCGCTTTTTTGGTCTCATTGTTCACTTATTTATCATGGAATTACTTCGCTTGAGCTCTTTTAATAATATCTGCAAGATACTTTGCTATTTGGTGAAATAAAGGCCATATTTTTAGCAGTTTATCTTTTGAAAACTGCATGCGCAACAAAGTGTCACCAATGTGTTTACTCTCGTCTGACAAACAACCAAAGATGAAATACTTTATTTCACTCTTTTATAGCAATCTAAAATGCCTAAATATTAGATTATTCATTTTATTTGAGCATACACATTATATTTTTATACAATTGGTCCTTGAAAAGGACTTATTTCAAGCTAGAGTCAGATTTCAAACTAGAGTCAGATTTCAAAAGAAACCGCCTGTCTGACATTTTACAGCAACCTATATTGGCGCGCACAACGTTTTAGCCACAAATCCGTTGTTTTCTCAACAGAAACAAAAGGAATTTCAGTTAAAATTCTTACCTGATGAATATTCAAAAGTGTTTATCTCTTTTTGACGACTTTCAGTGCTCTTAATAGCGAAATAAAAAGCATTTTGTTTTGTCACCGCACGCTGCGTTTGAAAATGCCGGCTGTCAAAGTCAGAATTGAAAACACCTCAAATATTTTAAAATTTTCTCACCTTTTTCATCCTTTATTTATATTTTAATTAGTAATTTTTGTACTTCGTGTTTTTCCAAACATATTTGAGCTATTTAAAAACTTCAAAGAGGTACAAACACTGTGTTTTGGGGTTACAGAGTTTTTGGACTTGAACAACAAGTTCTGAAGTTCAAGTTCTCCATTGTAAACTAGATGTCCTGAGTGTGCCTGAGCTATGCCCAAGCAAATTTTTATAGCGTTTCATTATTTTGTAATTTATACCCTACAAGATGAAAACTAATTTGAAAATAAATGTGTACCAATCCAGGAATCAAAAAATATTTCTCCATTTATGTTGGGTTATTGACTTATTGCCCTTCAGATGTTGGGTGTCATGAAGAAACAAAATGTCAGAGACTTAAATTGACACAAACCAAGAATTCTCACCCAAAAATCTAGTGATATATTTAAGTGTGGGAGCTCATTTAAAATAGAATTGATTAATCATTTATCATTTTAACCCACTGCAAAATTTCAAGGTTTTTTATAACATTGATCTTGTGATATGGGTATTTTTGTAAAAGCAGTTAACAGAAGTTGACAGTAACTAAAATTCGCCATTTTCCTTGCAACTTGGGGAGTGCCAATGTTGCAACAGTCTGCAACTTAATGAGTTAATTATTAAAAATTGATTAAAACAATAAAGCGGCTATGTACCAACAACCGGGCACATAAGCCATAATTATGCCATAAAGGCTTTGACTGGTCTGATAGTATTCGGCAGCACAGAAAACCGAGCTCAACCTGACAAACAGTTTGCCGATGGTGGTTTAATATATGCAGGGAAGCGATAAATATATATATATATATATTAGACTTTCCAAAGTTCGCGGTTCCTGGAAGTGACAGACTTTTGTCACCTGCAAGCGCGCCAAAATCACCGGTGCATTTTTGCTCCGTTGACGTCAGTGAATGCTCATTATTAATTTGGTGAAATATCTACTCTCGTAAAACTTTTTGTAGGTGTTGCCATCTATTGTGAATATACAGAAAGTCGCATGAACAAAACAATAATGAACTAGTGAAATCGGCATGGAAATCGGCGCCAAATTTTTCAGTAAGATTCAAAATCAGGCAAGTGACACAAGTCGCTCATATAAGACCTTACACTAGTCCCTGAAAATCAAACCAGCTGATCTTCTGGGACTGGTTAAATCGATCCTTGCAACCATGCTGTTTTGCGACATTTTTTCACCACCAAACACTGGGGCATAGGTATTTTTTGTTCAAAATAGCCTTGCAAAATTTTTTTCAAAATCCCCCCCTCAAACATTAAATGGTCGATCACAGAAATATGTGCTGTGAATGACTTTTAAAGTTTGAAAAATAACAATGTATCCTGGAATTTAGCCGTCAGTAATCAGTATAAAACATGCGTGCAAGCAGACTGTAACAGTGATGTTATGATTTTGTTTGTGCTTAAATTTTGCAATAATTCTCACTAAAATACATTGAAAATTATTGTAAGCCTGTTTATATAAAGCATAAAAAGCATATACATCGAAAAGGAACCGCAAAACTCAAAGTTTTAACTTCGTGACCGAATGACATAAAAGTTACATGGCTAGCATTTTCGCCTAGTCGCGTAATTTTGAAAACGGGTGTAATTCGAAGCAGTTTAGTGTAAAATGTGCTTGAGTCGAGTTCAGTCAACACTCTACACAAAATGTGAAGTGATTCTAAATCGATTCACTATATGACCATTCTAAATATAAGTGCACAATTACGACTGCCCCTAAAAGTTTTTTCCGATCGCTACAGAAAATGCAAGAAAAGCAGTAATGGAGCTTCAAAAATAAATATTTTTGAGAGAGGACCTCCAGGTATTGAAAGGTCATTGCAATTTACAACATCTACAGTTTAACATTAGAATACGAATAATTCGGGAAAATCCTTCGACCGACACCCCCCCCCCCCCACATGTCCGCATTCCCCACAATATTCCTATATTTTTTATTGAACTCTTACTACATTTTTTAACATTTTTACTGACTTAATAGTATTCACTGTACATCAGCGAAAACTGAATTGAATGTCAAATAAATAACGGAAATGAATAATGAAATAACGGCAATAACACCAATAACAGCAATAGCACCAATAACTGCAATAACACCAATAACGGCAATAACACCAATAACGGCAATAACTGCAATAACACCAATAACTGCAATAACACCAATAACACCAATAACACCAATAACGGCAAAAACGGCAATAACAGCAAATAACAGCAATAACCCCAATAACGGCAATAACACCAATAACGGCAATAACACCGATAACGGCAATAACACCGATAACGGCAAAAACACTGATAACTGCAATAACGCCAATAACACCAATAACGGCAATAACACCAATAACGGCAGTAACACCAATAACTGCACTAACGGCAATAAGTGCAATAACACCAATAACTGCAATAACGGCAATAACACCAATAACGGCAAAAACACCAATAACGGCAAAAACACCAATAACTGCAACAACACCAATAACGGCAATAACACCAATAACGGCAATAACACCAATAACGGCAATAACACCAATAACTGCAATA